TTATATTAAAAGCAGTTAAGAAAACTGATGTAAAGACAGTGACTAGAGTGTTCCTTTGCAACATCATCCCTTGACATGACATCTCTAAAGTGATAGTATTAGATTGAGAATCAGCTTTCACAAGCATGTTTTGAACTTGAGTGTGTGAGAAATTAGACATTAAGAGATGACTCTTCACAGTCTATCATCTAGAGACTGACAGAGCTACAGAGTGAATGAATCAGACTTTGAAAATCTACCTATGCAAGTATGTTAGCTTTCAACAGAATGACTGATGTGAATGACTCTCTCTAGCAGAGCTGGTCATCAATAATAGAGATGCTGCCTTAATGAGTGTGAGCTCATTCTTTTTAACACATCTTTTTCACATCTCCTTCATTGATATAGCTGATGCACTCTCTATTGAAACATCATATAATCTCATTGAGTTTGCAGATGATTATATAAGGAAGGCCTATGAAGTGTTGAAGTGAACTCAAGTAAAAATGACAGATGCTCAGCAATCTCAAGAGAAATACACAAATAGATGAAGAGACTCAGCTTCAAGCTTTCAACCTGAAGAAAAGATCTGGTTGAGCTTAGAGAACATGAGAACTAATCATCTGTGCAAGAAGCTGGACATGAAATACAATCAATATACTGTGCTAGAAAAGATAGAATCTTATGCTTACTGACTGAATATCTTATCTGACATTCACAATGTCTTTAATGTAAAGCTTCTACATGCTGTGGTGACAGATTCTCTGCCTAGTCAGAGGCAAACTGACTGGCAGCCACCTGCTATAGAGATCCTGAAAGGACCTGAGTTTGAGATTGAGAAAATTCAGAGTGAACAAACTTATCAGAGAGAAAAGCAATATCTTATTAAATGAGTAGATTGGGCTGAGTCTACATAGAATGACACAAGTCTCTTATAAGAAGTGAAGGTCTTAAACACTTGGGAGGCCTCTCAGCAGGTAAAATTAGATGTAAAGAGGACTTTAAATAGTTGTAAAGGCCCACAACAAAGAGGGAGAAGGGGGGTATTATAAGAGGTTGATCCCTTAGATTTGCTCTGACTGACTGACTTAGCCTAGTCATCATTTGCATGTGTACACATGATCATGCTACATGAGCTTGCTTAAGCTTGAGTTCTCATCTCATTCTTTTCTTCCCTTTCTCAAGCAATTCATCCTTGTTATATAGGAGGACTAGTCTCTAATTCTTAAAGTTTAACTCTTTACAGACTCTTTCTTACTACTTCTCTATTCTCTATATATATCTCTGGTGAAAATCACCAGAGTGGAACTATATTCAGCTTTCTGATTTTCAGATTATCAATCTTTTCTCTGTCAAGAGTCTTTCAGCATCAGTGTTCATATTATTTCAAAGGTGTTCATTTTGTTGACAGAGATTCTCAGTCATTTCTGTAGCTCTGCCAGATTTTCTCTTTTTAAATTCTGTCTAAAATACTTTATTGTGAGGTTGTTCTGAGCTTTAGATATGTTTCAGCTGTAATTCTTTTCAAGTGCAGTTGCAGTGATGAAAGATAAGTCTCAATATTCAGTGCTGATTTAGAAACTATTTTAAATGCACTTGTGATGATCTTGACTGTTTTTCTTTGCATAATCTCAAGCCTGCTGAGTAGTACTGATCTGTAGTTGAGTGTATTTTCAGCTGATGCCTATCATATTGATGCTGTAAACATCATATATGATAAAATAACAATCTTGTAGATATTTCTCAGACTCTTATATTCTGTGCTTCAGATAGATTCTGTTAGACTGATTAGAGCTCTTAGAGTTTTGATTGTTCTGACTTTCACTTTCTCAATATGATTCTTTCATCTGAGCTGATTGTCAAGTATAAGTTCTAGTATCTGACAACATCAACTTAGTGTAATTATTTATCCTCTTATGATTATTGTATAGCTGTCATTGAGTTCTTTGAATCTATAGAATAAATGTATTAGACTGTATTTTGTTGAATTAAATTTTGAATCATGTGTTGTCTCTTATTTGTTACACTTTTCATGAATTCTTTCAAGTGTTCTGCAATTCTTTTCAGTTGAGCTGCTTGAGATCATAATATTCATGTTATCTATTTAGCTCATTTCTACTGTATTACTTTCTGAATTTTGACAGTCTTTCATCAGATCTGCATTGAAAAATAAATAGAGTATTGATGACATTGATGATCTCTATGAAATTTCTGATTGCATATTTCTTTTCTCTGAGCTGTTTTTTGAGAGCTTGATAGAGATTCTTCAATTTATCAAAAAGCTTTCTATCCATCTCACCACAGCAATTGAAATTCTTTGTTTTTGAAGATTGTGAAGAAGTCTTGAGTGTGAGACATAGTCAAAGACACTTGAAATATTCAAAGACAGTATAGATACTATTTTTAATATTTTCTGTCTCTTTTATGCTGTTTCTATCTTTTTCAGCAGTCAGTGCAAGGCATGTTCAGTTGAGACTTCTTTTCTATTACTCAGATGCATTTCTGAAAGAAGATCAATAGGATATTCTTTTGATAATGATCTTCTTCAGCAGTTTTCTTATTGTATTTAGCAAAGATAATGATTGATAGAATTTGATCTGAGTATAGTTCTCTTTCTTTAATTTTCTGAGCACTACTATTATAAATCTTTGAAAGTGATCTGAGCAGTATTTCTGTTTTATGCAGGCATTGAATAGAATTGTGAGAGGCTAAGTCAGCTCTTCTATCAGAATCTTTAAAATCAGATTTGATATTTCATCTGAGTCATGCTTTCTTTACAGTCATCTTTTGAATTATCTTCTGTATCTCACTAAGTGTGATTTCTGACCATTCAACTGATTCTGAGTATACTGTTCTAGCTATATCATTGAGATTAACAATGTCTAAGAGTAGAAAGAAGATTTTGCTGAGCAGATTATACTTTTTCTCTAGTTCAGATTCTAGAGAATCTTTTTCATATCTTAGAGATGAAGTGTAAGCAGCTCTGAACTCTTTGTTCTTAGCTCATTTGACCAGCTTCCAGAGGCCTTCTGTGAATTCTGTTGCTTGTTGAATTCTTTCTCTATAATTTCTCCTCAAGAGCTTCTGAATAAGTCTTTTTTTGTGATTTTTGACTCTTCTATAGTCTTCTCATGCTTTCTCTGACTGGGTTTCTTGATGAATACATCACAGTTATCTTGCTTTCATCTAAGCTTCCTTGATCTCAGGTGTCCAGTTTGATATTGATCATAAATTGATATGTAACTCTGGACAATGAGTTTTAATGACTGTTGTGATTGCTTTGACTATAGCTTTCAGATATTGATTGATCTTCTTCTTGCTTAGTGGCTTGCTTGCTCTTGACAGATTTTTTCTGACATTCTTCTTGAATTTCTTTTCTTTCAATCTGTGTCAAACTCTCTTCTTTCTTGACTCACTTTGAGCTGTTGACATGTTCAGAATAATTACCACTGATAAATGATCTGAGTCATAATTCAATTCTGATTTAGCTAGTCTACAGCATATCACTTTTTCTTAAATTCAGTGTGTTTTCAAAACCAGGTTCAGTGTGATTGATTCTCCTACTTTATAATAGATTCTTATCTCAACAGATATAAGCAGTTCTAGCTGATAGTCTGCTATTAGTTCAAGCATGACTTCAGCTCTTTCTGATATCTTTCTGACTCTGAATTCACCTCACAATGAGTGATGAAGATTGAAGTCTCTTAGTACTACATGCTCAGCTTCAGGTTCCTCCTCTAAAGCCTTTCAGAGATCTGATATTGCATTATTTCTTTCAAAGTATCCTTGTAATTGAGTTGTACATATTGTGTATGCATAGCACTTTTTCCTTATTCACTTGTAGTTTTAAGATCATAATATCTGTTGTATGATGTGTGTGTGTTCAACCTTCTTCTATTCTCTTATTTATAAGAAAGTATACCTAAATTTTCTCATTCTTCTGGTAAATCAGGTCAAATTGGTCCTTGATTGAGTAGTATATGATCTCTTGAAACTTGTTTCATTATAGTTTCTGAATAGCTATAATATTATATATTAATGCTACTTGATCAGCAAGCAGTGATGCCATGACTTGATCTCAAGACTTGTTGACATTATATTGAAGTATTGATAGAGTTGTATTATTCATTAAAGATCATATGCATGTCTGACATCTGTGTTGATGATTGATTTCTTTGACTTGCATATTGCTGGTGTTTGTTCAAATTGAAGTTTCTCACTGAAGTAGTCAATTGCTGATTATTGCTCAGCTTCTATAGCATCTGTCTAGCTGCATCTTCTTTATTCTCTTTTTGAGTTTCAGCTCTCATGCTCTTTTTTGAAGATCAGTCTCTCTTTTGACCCAAGTCTATCCTTACTCTTGACTAGAGAATAGGTCTGACTGAAACTTTCTTTGAAATATTTGTTTTTTTATCAGTTCACAATTCATTTGTGATATCTTGTCAGTATTTTGCTGCTGCTTTTTGATGTATATTTGATCTTGTTCTCTTTCTCTTCTCAAGTCTGATCAGTTCAGCTTTTCTTTTCTCACATTGAACACTTCATGTTAAATGTTTTTCATCACAGTTTGTATATTTTGTCTCTGTTTCTTTTTTCATTCTTTTATTATAGCTCATAATTCTGTGACTTTCTGTGTAATATTTACAGATTTGACTTGCCTTGCAATAAGTTTCAATATATTCATACTTTTAACATTTGAAACATTGTCTCAGCTTGCAGATTCTATCATAATATTCACAGATAAACATCTGAGCTTCTAGTACAATTCTCTTGATGATTGCACTATCTGCATGCTCACTATTATCAAACTTCACTATTAATATAAATGCTCTTTTCTCTTTAAGTTCCTTTTTAAATCATTCTATGTACTTGACATTTGCAGTTTTCAATGTTGGATTATTCCACTGTATCTTATCTTTTATTTCTTTGATGTTTGTGACATCTATTGCTATTGAGACTTCATGAATTAAAATTTCAAAGATAATAATCTGAAAAGCTGCTGTGTCTTCAAGAGCTTTCATTTACTTCTTCTTGTATATCTGTATTTTTCTTATTGTGTCCTGATCATTTGTGTACAGTGTGATGTCTCTACTTGAGTGTTGCTTTATAGCTAGGGTTTTTACACCCTTCAGATCCTGAACTTGATTTTTTTCTAGTGTTTTATTGATCTTTTCTTTGATTGTTTCTTCTGAGGCTGTCTGTATTTCATTTCCTGAGGCAGTATTTCCTATTTTAATCAGGATCTCACATAGTCTGCTTGAGGGTCTGGTTTGCATTGGTGTTCTCAGAAGGTATGGTTTCTGCAAAACTTGAGTGTAGAATAGACTGTTGGCCCCAGCGGGCTTTACAGCTGGAGCTGCTAGTATGTTCTTGATTTGAACTATATCCTTTCTCATCTCCTCCTGGGCTTTTGCGGTGGCTCGGAGGTCTGCAGTCAGTTCAGCCTAGCGGGTTTATACGATATTCTTCAAAAGCTTGGATGTCTGCTCCGATTCGGGTGGCATGGTCGCTTAGTTTGGGTGGCTGGATACCCACCTGTGGGGTATTTTGACCACTCACCATATCTTCTTGATACTGGGCGGTACCTAGAGAGCTGACAAGTAGATTGAGCCACAGTATGAGTAAAATAGAGCAGTGGTTGTGGAGATATTTCAAAAATATGGTTCCGACAGTATGAGGTTGTTTAAGGGTCTGTAGAGGGTTGGTGAGTTGATTAGACGCAGTCACTAGTTAAACCTTCCAAGAACTAATTATTAACTTCTTCTACAAACTGTTGCCAGCAGCAGGGTATCACGTGTTTTGTCAGGCTCCTAATTTGCATCTCCTTTAAAGTCTCTTGCGGAACCCTGCAGAGGAGTTGGAAAACGAAGAAAAACTATAAAGTATTCACTAGGAAATCTCTATTTTGTGTCGCAGGCCAAAAAATTCATCAAGTCATGTGCTCCCAAGCAGTCAGATCTCATTCCGCAAGCTTTTCCAGGTTCACCTCAATTGTCAACTCCAAAATGTTAGTTACCTAACTAATCGTAGGAGGCTGTTAACGTATTAGGAGAAAATTGGACGCTGCTACAAACCACCTACCCCGCAAAATGCAACTCGATGAGCAAATCTAAAATCCAACCGCTTATTCCCCTTCGTCTTTCGATTTTGCTATGTAATTAAGTTTCTCCTGTTCAGTAAGCGCATTCATTCCACTTCTTCTCCTTCTCCTTGTTTCGCGGGACATAATAGATCTTCGTAAACGTATTTAAGAAAATATTCGTGGCGCAGAGAGCGACTAGGAAGCGGTTTCCGACTCGGTAGGGTGGGGAATCGGCTGTGAGATGGAAGGGTGACAAATTGTCAGCAAATGATTGTGCCGGGTATCATTTCGTTTCCGGATGTTTGTTCATGGGGGAAAACAATTATTGAACGGGTGTGTCCACGCTCAATAAATGTGTGTCACTTATCTAACTCACATTTTCGGTAGATGTTAGCTGCGATGATTGAAGATGTTTGGACAAACATATTGTACAGCGCTGCAGATACGGTTCTTGTTCTAACTGCATTGGAGTTTCGCGAGTTCCAGCCAACCTTGATAGCATGGGCTGTTACATGAGAAAGTATATATATTAGCATTTCATTCTGCCACTCGAGGAATTCTAGATGTGTGAATCCAAATCTACCATTGGGTAACTAGTTATGAAAGTAGCACTGTCATAATGTCCCACGTAACCCATTTGTTGATCTTACTGATATCCACAACATCCATGCATATCAAGAAGGGAAGACCCCTATTTGGCCCACCATGGCTGGAATGGTGAGAGACTGATAAATTTCTGTTATGTATACCAGTCCTATCATTGTTATTATGTGGAGCACCTACACATGTAGTTAGTATTATCCAAAAGGAATCACGAAGGTCAGTTTCAGTGCACGTACACTTTGTGGAATAGTCAAGAGATTGTCTGAAAGTGTCAAAACCGATTCTTCTCTATGTCAAAAGTAAGATACATTGCCGGCATTGCTGCGAATGGGTAATTAGTTATCGAAACAAAACTGGCTTGGAGAATGGCTATACTCACCCACGGGAGTCAGAAATGTCAGTCCTTATATAACTATACAGTGACCATAGATCATAGTCTTCTAAACTTTGAAGCAGTAGCTTTGGCGTAAGTTGTTGCCGATTATGCATACTTTGCTTGGATCGTCTCTAATAACCCAGTTTACCATAATAACCTCTTTCCTGTGTACTTGCACTTTTCTTTCGTCTACATTGAAAATGTTCCCCTCCGCTGTCGAAACTCCAGTGGATGTAGCTGTGAAGTTGGCAAATCCATCAAGGATGTAGAGTCCCTTGTTACCGGGGTCGAACACGCTCAGGGTCGAGCCCCTGAAACTCTCGGGCGCGCTGGATCAGTTCGAGTTATTTGATGTAACGCCAGTCATTGGCAGGGAGTATAAGAATCTCAAGCCTGAAGGATTTGCTTCGAGCACCAAACTCTGACGAACTTTTCAGAGATTTTGCCATTAGTTACTAATCGTGCCGCTGCGTAACCCACACCTTGTGTGGGTGCACCACACCAAAATGATAAAAACACTGAAACAATAAAAATCTTAAATCACATCCTCATTATTGCACTCTATATCAACAATCAGTAGCTAATCTAGAATAAAAAGATTATCTACATCATTCTCAATATATGTGTCATCTCTAAATTGATTTAATTCCTCTTCTGTCAGTGATGTGAGTGAGTTATTGTCAATTTTCATTAGATCAACTTCAAGTTTTTGCTATTTTTCATTCTACTCTTTTTCAATTTCATTATTCTTACACTGCTTGATTTTTCTATTGACATCTTTAATAGTGAGAACTCTCTCTACTTGAACCTGATGATGAGTTGTTTTAACTCTGCAGCATTTACTGATATTGAGAAAATTCTCTAATTCAATAGTCTATTGCTCATTAAATTTTATATAAGTTAAACTTACTTTGAATATATTCTTCAAATAATGTGTCAAGGTGAGTTATTTCAATTTGAGAGTATTTTTAATTTTTTGTATGATATTTTTCATATTATTAATATAATGTTTTAACTTTTAAATTATATTTGATAAGAATAATTAAGAAGAAGAGATAGATATATGATTTAAATTAATCTTATCTTCATAAATCTACAGTAAAGGAGGTGATGAGATTTGCTGCTTAAGAGTGTCAAGAACTCAGTCAAAATTTCATGAATATATATCATATTGAGCTTATTCTGCAGCTATTATATCAGATTTAAAGGCTTGCTTTTATATAGTTAAGAGATTTTATAGAAACTACTGTTTTTCATACTTAACAAGATCATAACATACAATATAGTTGATTGCTTTTGAATAATAATGCTTATATTGTTGAAATGATATACTATTCAGAAATTGTAGTAAATAAGTAATATATGATGAAAATTTATAAAAAATTATCTTATGAAGATTCATATATTATATGAATTTCTCAATAATATAAAATTTATGATTATTCATTAAAGGTAATTGATGACTTCTCTTCTATTACTTTTCTATAGCAATATTAAAATATTTAAGTTATTTAAATTCAATCTCATTATTTGTAAATTTAGTATCTGATATAGTAATTCTATAATTGCTGAATAAATCTGTTTATGTATATCAATTTTCTAAGTGTGTTTTAAAGATCAACATTATCAATGATAAAATGACATAATTATTTATGAATATATACTTAATGACTATAATCAGATCTTTTGAAAAGAATAAAGAAATGATGAAATTAGCTTCTTTAGAAGCAGTTATAACTTATTTTTTACATTTTTATTCTTCTTGAAATTTAATTTCATTGAACTTATATATGTCACAGATATGAAATTGATATTATTTAAATAGAATTCAAAGATATTCAAATCATGTATTGATATACTCAATATTTTTAACTGTTATTTTTTTAGAATTCATTGACTTCTATTTTATTCTCTTATACTTAAATAAATATTCAATGAATCTATAAATTCATATCTTGCTGACTGTAAAGGATTAAGCTTTAAGAACTAGAGGCTAGTCCTTCTATATAACAAGGATGAATTACTTGAGAAAGGGAAGAAAAGAATGAGATGAGAACTCAAGCTTAAGCAAGCTCACGTAGCATGATTATGTGCACACATGCAAATGATGACTAGGCTGAGTCAGTCAGTCAGAGCAAATCTAGAGGTTCAATCTCTTATAATACTCCTTTTCTCCCTCTTTGTTGTGAGTCTTTACAACTATTTAAAGTTCTTCTTTACATCTAATTTTGCCTGCTGAGAGGCCTCTCAAGTATTTAAGATCTTCACTTCTTGTAGGAGACTTGCATCATTTCATGTAGGCTCAGCTCAACCTACTCATTTAATGAGGTATTGCTTTTTCCTTTGGTAGGTTCATTTACCCTGAATTTTCTCAATATCAAACTCAGGTCCTTCCAGGGTCTCTATAGCAGGTGGCTGCCAGTTAGTTTGCCTCTGACTAGGCAGAGAATCCATCATCACAGCATGTAGAAGCTTTACATTAAAGACATTGTAAATGCTGAATGAAATATTCAGTTAGTAAGTATGAGATTCTATCTTTTCTAGCATGATATATTGATTGTATTTTATGTCCAGCTTCTTGCACAGGTGATTAGTTCTCATGTTCTCTAAGCTCAACCAGATCTTATCTCCAGGTTGAAAGCTTGAAGTCAGGTCTCTTCATCTATTCATGTATTTCTTTTGAAATTGCTGAGCATCTGTCATTTTTACTTGAGCTCACTTCAACACTTCACAGGTCTTTCTCATATAATCATCTGCAAACTCAATGAGATTATGTGGTGTTTTAACAGAGAGTGCATCAGCTATATCAATGAAGAAGACATGGAAAAGATGCATTAAAAAGAATGAGCTCATATCTGTTGAGACAGCATCTTTATTATTAATGATCAGCTCTGCTAGAAGGAGTCATTCACACCAGTCATCCTGTTGAAAGCTAATGTACTTGTGTAGATAGATTTTCAGAGTCTGATTTATTCACTCTGTAGCTTCATCAGTCTCTGAGTGATAGACTGTGAAGAGTCATCTCTTAATATCTAATTTCTCACACACTCAAGTTCAAAACATACTTGTGAAAGTCAACTTTTGATCTGACACTACTGCCTTAGAGATGCCATGTTGAGAGATGATGTTGCAAAGAAACACTTTAGTCACTGTCTCTGCATCAGTTTTCTTAACTGCTTTTAATATAACCCCCTTGATTAGTCTGTTCATTATAATCATGATGTTTGTATATTCTTTAGAGCTTGATAAGTTTATGATAAAGTTCATGAAAAGCTCCTGCCACATGCATTCAGGAATGAGAAGAGGCTTAAGTAGTTTCTGATATTGATCTCTTCATGCAGTGTTTGATCTGTAAAAATGACAGTTTCTGATCATTCTTCTCATATTAACAGCATAGCCTGATCAGTAGAACTCACATCTTAGAACTCCTGCCATTTGCTCTTACCCAGGATGGCTGGTAAGAGGTGAGTTATAAGCCTCATGCACTAACCTGGTTTGAAGAGATTCAAAGTCTGGCATTCACTTACAATCTCAAAAGAGAAGCTCTCTGTTCTCATTTAAAGAGCACTCAGAGACAGAGGTCTTAATGCTGAGTTCAGAAGAAAATCTGAATCTTCTCTCACAAACAGTTTGCTTTAGATACTGCAGAATCTTGTCATTTTTATGAGTCTCATTTCACTGAGCTTGAAGAGACATCTCAGATTTCACACTGGCAGTGGTCACTATTGGTTCCATTTCAGGTGTCAGTACATTAAACTTAAGTAGTTGAGCTTGTCTCTGCTTGATTTTCTCATCATCAGCACTCTGTGATATGTCCTGCTCTTTTCATGATAGAGTGTCTGATTCAGTGTTCAACTTCTCTGACTGATAATCAATTCTAAAGTTGAATCAATAGAGAATATCCATTCAATATAGCTGTCTTTCATTTAGTCTGTGTGTAGTCATGAAGTATTCTAGATTTTTATGATTTATGAAAATCTTGAATTTCTTTACACTTTGTAGCTCAGCATCTCATTCCTTTAAACACTCAATTATCACTAATAACTTCTTATTATGAATCTTGTAGTTGCATTCTGCAGGTGAATACTTGTGAGAGAAGAAGGCACATGAGCATAGAATACTCTGCTCATCATATTGTAGCAGCATTTCTCCTGAGATGTAATCTGAGAAGTCCATTTCCAATATAGTCTCATGGTCAGAGTTGAATTGAAGCAGAATTGAAGCAGAGATAAACATTGATTTTGAACACTTAAAAGCTTCTTCAGCCTTGCTTATCCACAAAAAAAAAATATTCTTGCATGTAAGAATCATCAGTGAGATCATGATCTTTGAGAAATCTCTGATAAATCATATATAGAAATTGGCAAAGTCTAAAAATCCTTGTACACCTTTAAGAGTAGTAGATATCACTCATTTCAAAACAGCTTTAATCTTCTTCAGATTCATTTGTATATTCTTGCCTGCTTCAATGATGAATTTAAGATATTTTGTGCTGTTCATCTTGAACTCACTCTTTCTGATGTCTGCCTGCAGGCCTGCTTCTCATAGACACATAAGCATTTTTTGTACATGCTCACAATGCTTCTGTAAGCTTCTTGAGAAAAATATCAAGATGTCATCTAAATAGATCAAGCAGAAGTCATTCAGATATTCATGTAATGCCCAGTTGATATATTTTGAAATGTGCTCAGAGCATTGGCTAAATCAAAGAGTGTAATCAGTTATTCAAATAGCTCATATCTGATTCTAAAGACTGTCATCCACTCATCACCTTCTGTAATTTGAATCTTGTGAAAAGCTGCAATAATGTCCAGTTTAGTGAATCATTTAACCTGTCCAATTTACTGTAGAGTCTCACTAATTAATGATAGAGGATATCAATCCTTTCAGATGATTTTGTTAAGAGCTTGATAGTTCACACAGAATCTTAGCTCACTCTCAGACTTCTTCACAAATAGTATGAGAGTGGCTGCAGAGGAGTTGCTCACTCTAATAAAACTCTTATCTAGATAATCTGTAAGAGTCTTTCACAAAGCCAGTAGTTTCTCTTAAGACATATTATATAACAGGCCCCAAGGGGATTGTTCCACACTACTATAAGTCTTTTTAATCAGTTCAATCCCATGATCTCTACCTGGGCCACAAAGTGAGGGTAGAGTGCTGGTGGCTTCCTTATCAAATATATTCAAAAACTCATGATAATGTTCAGGCAGCTTTTCTCTAGGGTCAATCTTTGATTTCACTTCTAGAGTCTTTTGAATGTCAGTCAAACTGACAGTGAAGATCTCAATGTTTCACTTCTCTCAAGTGCTCACAATTCTAGAGAAGCTTACAGCAGAGATGGGAATCACATCAGCTTTTGCATTTGAACTAGACTCTATCTCTATGCCACTCTCTTCAAATCTCACAATTCTTTGATAAGAGATCACAGTTGTCTTTTGCTGGGCCA